GCTAGGCAGATATTTGAAAACACTGATTACGCTTTTAAACTCTATAACAGAGCTCTTTCGAGAATTTCTAATTGTCGAACTATGAATCAACATCGTCAGTTTTCTATAAGAATTAATCTATACATCATAACTGATCTTTCAGTTGGGAGCTCCTTTAAATGCATTCACCCTTTTCTGCTTCGCATGAAAACCACAAGGTGCGCTAATGAGGTACGTTTTCTAGGCGTAAGACTCTTCCAAGGAACCATGTAACCAACGCATCGGCAATGAATTTAAGAGGAAATTAATTTCCTAACGACTCCACCGAACTTTTCTTATTTACACTTCATTGCCAATGGTTTTTGAGTAAAGTATTACGAACATAATATATCAAGAACGGAACGACTAATTACAAGATTGGAAAGAACAGGAAAAACAAATAACAAGAAATATGTTTAACATAGGCAATACTAATAACAAAAGGAACACGGGACTCTCGAAGAAAGAGCATTTTACCTGACGATTTTAGAATACGGCTGGCATAAGAATGTACTTGTGATTACCTTTTAACCCGAGCTCACACCTTTTTTATTTGCTTGATCTGCGCGAAAGTCAAACATATATGGATAGCCGCGCGGAATGGGGCTAGGATTGATTTGAAACCACGAGGCCGCAGGCCTCGTGGTTTCAAATATTTTCTCGCGTTTGGAAACCTGATGAAACCCGAAGCACGAGTTTTTGAAATGTCTTCTCCAAAGAAACAATACAAAATTATGCAGTGTTGTATTTTTTTCCATTTTTCTTCAAAATGCCTTGTATGTGTGATTTGTTGTATTCAGTCGACATTCATTGTATTTGTGAGCTTTTGTTTTTAATTATCCAATAGTTTCGCGTTGCACCAAATTTGTATTCCAATAGCGTTGTGAACTTAAAGTGATTGACATATTTTTTTGCCATGGCCGAAGGAAGGTTTCGCTTCCCGAAAACAATCGAGGAAGAAGAACTTTGCGTAGAGAGAGCAGTACCAAAGCCTACCAGATATAAAAATAAGTGGGCAGTAGGCATTTTGGAGGATTGGCAAGGAGTACGAAGTGTCGAGTTCAGCCGCTTACTAGGCCCATGACAGAGATAGACGTATTGATGCTGAACTATTGGTTATCCAAATTTGTTCAAGAGGTAGCAAAGTGTTCCAAAGATCCATACCCTCCAAAAACGTTGTACCAGATTGTCATGCAGCATTCGCCGATTCATGTTGGAAAAGAACCCAGCCATCGAGTTCAATCCCTTGGAATATTCAGACAAAAAAATTTTCTCAGAATGTGGATATGGATACTATGCCAGTCTGTGTCGGTGACTCTAAGAAATGTACTGTAAACTTTAATTTCAAATGAGTTGAGCTTGTCAGTTTGTAATTTTAAATGTCTTTCCTGGCCATTGTTTATTAAAAATTAATGATTCATGTTAAGCTGTGTTTGAGTAATCTATCAATATGCAGATTGAGAACAATTTTATCACTAGTGATGAAAACGTGATGAAGCACTTATTATTTTCAACTCGTCTTTCATTGAGTTTCAAAGTCATCCACCTGACCCAAATGGGGCGCTCTAGTTGGCTTATAACTTCATGAATTATTAATGAGTTTGAGAAGACATCTTTTCGTCATTCAGGGAAATGCGCTGAAGCAAACATCATTGACAAATCGAGTGTTGCAAGTTGCGACTCCAGGCAGGGAAAGGATGGGCAGGTAGAACCCTGTAACAAAGATCTCTTGTTCAACCGAGAAAGCCCAAAAGTTAAGTTCCGACTCTCTTAGTATAGTTACCACCCATTTTACCACCTGTGACTGAATCTGGTTTTGAGAAAGAAGAATCGAAAGAAAGATGCACACTCCGTTCCAAATTTTTACCAGTATCTGAGCTAACTGAACATGTATCTGAATGTTCCAAGCTGAGTGCATGCGCAGCCCAAGATGATACGGAAAACACGCGTGAAGCGTGCTCTTACTGTGGAGAACATTTCGAGGTACTGCAACTTGCGAAACATGTCAGCCACTGCTAATAGCCAGGGAAGTCACTCAGGAGAATGATGCCTCCACCTTCTCGTCAACCGAAGAAGACATGTCTGATTTTATTGAAAATTTTCCCCGAGTTGAGAAAGAACTATACCCAAAATGTGAACGCGAGAGTTTCCAGTATTAGAGTAAGTGAGTCACGCCGCTGAATGCAAGGAAAAAGAAAGCACTTTCTTTCCAAGAGAAGGCACCATCTTCGGATTGTTAGTTCCCAAACGTTGTATGAATGTTGCAAGATTTTCTCCGCAATCTTTTTCACTGCCGGTGTACTGGATTTCACAGATGATAGGTATCGCGAGAGGGGAATGGATAGAGTCACTTATCGGTTATGTCTCTAAATTGCAGCAAGATTTTTCTGCAGTTACTGTTGCATTTATGTTTATCAATTCGAAAGAACAACGAGCCCTGACAAAAATAATAGTATTGGAAATCTCATATTCAACACATGTTGTTATCATCATAATTGCCTTGCAAAATTATTGGTATTTCTATCGTGAATCTAAACACCGTTATTTAGAAAGGAACTTTTAATGACTAGATAATACAGGAAATTTCGTCAAACGAGCTCCTGCAGTTAATTCAGTATTTTCTATTGCGTTTAAGACAATGCTTGATTTTAGAACCTATTATCATCCACATCAATCTTGAGAGAGTGTTAAAGTTCTTAGTCGACGATACTCATTATTGAAACCGCCTTGAGACTGGCACTAGTGGGGGCTCAACGGACATAGTGGTTAGGAAATCCTTGGAGGTGAGAATACGAGCAATGATCAAAGATTGCAGTTCCTTTATCTTATTGAAGATAGAAAAAAACCCTACCCTCTCGAAACAACTTGAGGGAATTGGCGTCTTAGAAGCGATAGTACATGCCTGAAAAGCAAAAATTAAGGAACGTTAAGAGTAGTAGAGGATGAGTGATTCGCCTCTGACTCAACCTTGGAAGCGTTTCCCCTTCTTTTTGTTTCAGAGCATTTTTTTTAAATTAGCCATTCTTTATTCACCTTTAGTGACAAGTTCCGTAGAGAGTTAACGGTATCTTTAGTCACTTTGAAGTTCAAGAATCAGTCGAGTACTGACGACACTGTCCTCCCCAGCAGATTAACATGAAAAGGTCATTGCTCCAAATATTGCTGGCAACTCAATGTGCTCTCTTTTTTTTCTTTCTTCGCCACTTAAGACCGTATTTTAAACAGCGCTTACCACGAAAGTAACCTATCACAGCGAGTCAAGTACGGTGTACTGAACATAGTGGAGCATGACACCATGACCTGAATTCCCACACCAGAGAATCCCTGATATCTATCACAAGGGAAAGGCTGATAACCTTTTAAAATTTTTATTTTGCTAACAACCATGAGAAAATTATGATGCTCACTTTTATCAACCTTTAATAACCAGCCAACACGGCTCAGAGCCTTCTTTCATGGAGTTTCGTGAGACTGAAATAAAATTCGCCGCTGGGCAAGGTAAATGAACAAAGGAGATGTCATAACGTGCCAATTGCTAATACATGTAGTCTTACATCGAGCGCAGGAAAGTGCACGTTACCAAGTCACGCGTAGTTACAGTTTTTGATCGGTTAAAACGGTGGGTGTGATGTCGGAACCAATCTTAAAGCCCGGTGAGGTAAACCAAGGAAATCATGGATTAGTTTTTAATATTCAATTCGTAAATGGCGCCAAAATAAGCTTATTTTTCTATCATCAAAGTGCTGTCAGAAAGCGAGAGTGTGCTGACCTTCTCTTATCTGTGCTATTTTCCCGGCTTCCCAATTGGGGATCTTCGTGATGTAAGAAGCTGTCTTCATTACGGAGATTCCTTTCCACAAGTTAGCCTCCTTGATTACTTTCGTGCTTGAAAATTTACCAAGTAGGGAAAGATCACTTACTTAATTAAAGAAAACATACCTGGTAGGAGAGTAATCCTATACCATTTACACACCAGTGACATCAACTGCATGTTTTCGCCACCAAGTTGTGCAGTAGCTTGTCGCAATGGAGATATACGACGGAAAAGTGCCTGAGCATCTCTGAACATTGGTCAGATGACCGAGGCTCTAAGACAACTATGAGCTGCAATCCCGTTCACTTTTTCTGCTCAGCTGGTTGAACATTGAAAATCAAAATCGAACAGAGTGAGGATGAACTCCTCTCGAAAGTGGACTCAGTACCTTTTTCTGCTCAATTGGTGGAGAATTTGAAAGGAAAATTGAAGAAGAGTAAGGTTTAAATCCTCACCAAGCTCGACCAGGATATATCTCACTTTTTCCAACCAGCTGTTTGCATATTTTTCCAGGGTTAGTTGTTGAAAGTAGTTGGTGCTGTAGGTTAGGCATAGCGCAGAGTCCCAGTCAATAGTATGGTTCGTAATTCCGCAGTCGGTGATGTTCAGCAGTGAGATTGTTGGCATCGCCTTTCCTCGCTGCTCGTTTGTGTTCGATCAGTCTAGTTGTGAGGTTTCTGCCAGTCTCACCGAAGCAGGAGGCGTGGCAGTCGGAGCAATTGATCTTAAACACTGCTCCCTGTCTGTTCCTCGGTTCATCTTTGTCTTTGACGTTAGTCAGTAACTGACGTAGTGTGGTAAAAGGTTTGTAAGCGACGCGGACATTGAATGGTTGTAGGATGCGCGAGACGTTCTCAGATATGCCCTTTATGTACGGTATAGTTGCTGTAGTCGTAAGAGTTGGGTTGTCGTTAGCCTCGGTAGTAGTAGTAGGTCGGTGAGTGTTACGTTGAATGAAGTCTTCGTTGTTGTTGTTCTTTGAAAAACACGGTGAAGGTAATTGTTCTCGTCGGATAAGCTGTCTGTCGTGTTGCATACTAGTTGCGCTCGTCGCGTAAGAGTCCTGATAGCAGTGGCTCTGTGTGATGTCGGGTTGTAGGATGACTCGTCCAGTAATCTGTCGGTATATGTCGGTTTCCTGTAAACTGTTGTCCGTAGTGAGCTGTCGTCACGGCTTACCAGGCAGTCGACCTCTCGTAAACTGTTTGTCAGTGCTTTGACTGTTGAGGTGGTAGTGGAATGCGTCGATTTCGTTGTGTCGTGCGGCGGTGAAAGTATCGTCAACGTAGGGTAACCAAAGCGGTATCGTTTGTCGGCAAGTCGAAAGGGCGCTTTCCTCGACGTTCTGCATCACAATTTCTGCCACAACAACAGAAACTGGAGATCCCATAGCTGTACCGTGCAACTGTTTGTAGAGTTTACCGTTGTACTGAAAGTAAGTTGAATTAAGGCAAAGGTTTAGTAAGTCTATAATTTCCTCTGTCGGTAGCAGTAGGATAGCAGTCTCAGTAAACGGTAGTGCCAATTGAAGTAGAATAATTGTAAAAAGCGATTTCACATTAAATGACATTAGTTTGTAGCCGTCAGGTATTTGTACCGTCTTAGTGGCGTTAATAAAGTCCTCGGTGGATTGTAGTTTACGTCTGGATTTGTCGGTGAGCGGTTGTAGTATTGTCGTCAGGCACTGAGACAGTTGGTATGTCGGAGAACCACAGAAAGAAACAATTGGTCGCATTGGGAAACCAGGTTTGTGTAGTTTCGGCAGACCGTAAAGTTTCGGTGGCTGTGGCACTGAGCACTTTAGTCGGTAGTAGCGTTGAGTGTCAATGGCGTTTGTCTTCTGTCTGTTTGCGTTGAAGTGCGGGAGTCCGGTCACGTTTGAGTTCTTCGCAAGTTTGTTTGTCGTTAGCTAGTGCATCCATTTTGTCGTGATAGTCAGTCTTGTCCATGACAACAGTAACTCGTCCTTTGTTTACCCTTCTGGTAGAATAATTTATATTTTTTATTTACCCTTCACTTGTGGGAGATGTAATGGCCTTATTACCGATAATAGTGCTCTGGACCCAGCCGGCATTGAGAAGAAAACTTTCCATACCAGGCTAAGTCATTGCGTCGTGTCCATAGGCAAGACACTCTTGAAGAACCTCTCTCCATCCAGGAGTATACATGAGTTTTTGTCAAACTATCAGTGACCGAGGTAGCCAAGGCATAGGTGTACTTTTGCTTTGCTCATTAATAACCACATTAAAGTCAGAATAATAAACTAATAACATGCCAGTTAAAACAGCTGGCTTAAAAAATCCCTTTTTTTTTTTTATTAAGCATTAGGTTTTACAGTAATCAAGTTTTCATTATTACAAAAATATTATTAATAGTATATTCTCTTACTTTTGCCCTCAATAAAAAACTTTCATTCAATCCGGGACCATATCCAAAGCTTTTTATAAGTTTATAGCTTGATCATGGGACAGCGGCATCTTTGGCCAATGTAAAATATATTTATAGCTTCTTTCCTTGTTTTTTACTTAAGGGATGGCTTCATAAGTGAAGTGGGTCTTTAGAAGACGAGGGCTTGATAAAGTTTTATTGTCAGTCTGAGTTGAATTTTGGTCTACTGCCTTTTCCACAAATGGGACATTTTACCACTGTTGATTTCTCCATTGTGATAAATCTGCCAAACAATTTCTTGAACTCAGGTAGTCCCTTGAACAAATACAAAATAGTAACTCGATTTTTCTCATTGCTTCTCAGCATGGTTAAGGAGACAGAGACAACGTTACAGAGACAATTAAGCATGAAAACTGCATGGCTGGGATTTATACCATTTTAGATTCCAATTCCTATTGTCCAGGGAGCAGGGCCTTTGCTCTTATTTGCGCGACAAGACGTACTTTTCCCCGCCCCCGGAAAGATTTAAGACGAGTCGGGTAGAGGTTTGCCGGAGGTCAGGCACAACTATCAGTGCTAGACCCCAGTGCTGACCTCTTGCCATCTCATGTTGCGCAAGGCGTCATACCCCCGCGGGCGAAGGGAAGCTTATGACGAAGGTTGATGGGAGAAACAACGACTCCCTGTCCTTGGACTACCGGAAGGACTGCCCAAATTGACTACCCTGATATCTACCATATGGTATAACCCTTCCAAGGCCTATTCAAATGAATTCTTATACGACTGATGTCTCAATTTAACCGGATTTTTCAGCTATAGGCAATTGTTTCTCTTAAAAATCAAACCTCGCCTTCGATTCAACGCGGGGAATGGAAATATCGTGTTATAAAAAGAAATAAAATTACGATGTCCATTGTGTACAAAAATACATGAATGAAAACGACGGAGGTTATCCCTATCGAGGGCACTACCTAAATAAAATATAAATAAGCTGTAATAAAATAGATTTGTGACGAGCCTTGCGAGTGAAAAAAAAATACTCTAGCTAGTGGCTGTGTTAACTTGTCTTCTTAGTGTCAGTATCTAACTTTATTTGTCCAGCTCTATAATATACACGTAGCGTATTTGCTTTGGCCTTGAGCTTCAACTCGGTCACGCTTTTGGTTGTTTAAAATAAATGTAATGTTGAATCTGTAAAAAGGATCTCAATTGGGTGATGATCAAATTACGGCTTACGGTTAATTTCTTCCCGTTGAAGTTAGAACAAAAATATTTATAGTTCAAAAACTCCTTAATAATTCATAAGCCCATTAACCTATCAAATGGTAGATAATACATCACGTGCAGTGACTTTATATCGATAAACCTCATCCTTATTAGTATGCGGTGTTTTATCAGATATAAAGACACTGCACGTGACTTATGAATATTAATTAATTATCAACACAGAAACTGACACAACAAATGGTGGGAACATATTTAATGTTCTTTCAACAAATTTCACACAGTAAATTTACTTTTGCACCAAATTAATAGTACAGTTGTGAAATACACATCTGGAAAAATTCTCTATTCCATTAGTACAGTAATCTGGTAAAGGTATATTAGACAATACATCATCTGAAACTTCGAATTCAAGATCAGTTGGCAGAAGTGACTCCAACTCTTTTTCGCTAACCTCTGCGTTTGACCTTTTCGTATGCTAATTTCTAACGTTCACAAAAGCATAATTGTTATGAACTCTCTTGACACACGCTTTTCCAAGAATGTTTTTGAAGCCGTTCAAAAAACTCGCAGCACGTGTTTTATCGGGTCAAAAACCCGATAAAACACTCCTGCTCGTTTTTTAAACATTACTTAATTATTTAAGCGACTTACGTTTAAAATGTCACTAGATGCTCCTTCATCCCAATTGCAAAGTGGCCATTTGTCCCAGTTTTGTAACGGGAATTATATCCAATACGTGTTAATCGATTAATAGCCAAGGATTTATAAGACTTCTAGAATAGGTTCATGAAAACTAGTGGGGGATTTGGTGCAAAAAGAAATAAAAACAATCCTGGATCCCTGCTGTAAAATGAATCTTTAATAGCAACGTGTTTGATTTTTGGCGCTGAGATACACTTGGAGTCCTCTGACAGTTATAATCCAAAGTTGAGATCCTTTGAAAACCATATTTGTAGGAAAAGGTTCCCTCAATAATCATTATCATTAAGTTTAGGTACATTTTATGTCTTTACTACAACTTCAGAGGTATTCACAAGTCATAACTTAATTATGAAGCGGATTATTAACTTGTTTGAAGATAATTAATAGAGTCTTTATCTGGTTCTCCCTGTCCTCCACCTAAAAAACACTCTGATGGCAAAGTTAACAATAGAAGTCCCAAACGAAAATATTCACATAAGGGAAAATACACTGAGCATTCGTCAAGATCAGGGTTAATAGCCCAATTAAGTATCTGTGGCCTGTAATTGAAATTAAATTTTAATTAAATTAAATTAAATTTTAATTAAATTAAATTAAATTTTAATTAAATTAAATTAAATTTTAATTAAATTAAATTAAATTTTAATTAATTGAAAGATCTTTCCCTCAAAGATTCGTCACTCTGCAAATGCAGACTCCTCATTTTGACCACTAGACTGGAATGACGTAAGTTGTTTGGTAATCGGTAAGTTAATTTATTTTGGTAAGTTATTTGGTAATACAAGTTGATATGGCAATTGGCGGACGCTCTCCATGTGGCTCCGCTTATTTCGTTTCTCCTGACGCTATTTTTTGCCAACGTGTAGCTGAAAAGCTCAAGAAATGATATTATCTATCAGAGGCCTTCATTCGCAAATGGTCTTATCGTCTTGGCCGCTACATTCCTAAGGATAAGTCACCGAAAGTTCGACAAATCTGGAAAATCGATGCTTCGCCATCGCTATTCTACCAGAAAATATCTATTCATTCTTTTCCTTCAAATATCTAACGACATTCAACTGAGCCTTAAGCCTCTCAATTCCTTGACTCTCAAATCATGCAGTCTAAATGCCCGTGGTATTGTTAACAAGAGAACTGAGTTGCAAGCTATGGTCGCTTCAAAGGAATTAGACATCATCGCTATAACCGAAACACGGCTGAACCCTGATATAATGGATCAAGAAGTCCTGTCATCTGATTATAATATCTACCGAAGAGATCGCCAGGAAAAGGTGGTGGTGTTTTTTTAGCTCTAAGGGATAACATTTTAATCCCTGCTCAACATACTTTATTGGAGTATGCTACCGCTCTCCTAGCAGTGATATGGCCTACCGCCTACCTAACTAAACTGGTCCAATCGCTAGAGAAATTTCCACCATCATCATCCTTTTGCCTAGGGATTTTAATCTACCGAATGTTAACTGGAACCTTGTAGCTCATTGGTTTAAACGTTACAAAAGCTCATGGTCCGGATGGGATATCAGCGCGTATGCTTCGCGAGGCTGCACCAGATATATCAGAGTCCTTGACAAATTTATTTAACTTCTCACTCCAATCTGGCACCTTGCCTGTGAAATGGAAATCTGCTCACGTCATTCCAGTTTTCAAAAAAGGCTAAAAAGGTCCTGTTAATAATAATCGTCCTATCTCTCTTACAAGTCTGCTTGTCAAAACCCTGAAAAGACTGATGTACGGTCGCATTTTTGGATTTATTGGATCGAATAATCTACTTAGTAGTCATCAGTATGGCTTTCGTCCTGGCTTCTCCTGTACCTCTCAGTTAATAACTTCTTCCATGAGTGGGCCAAAGCACTTGATAAACGCCTCTCTACCGATGTGATATTTCTGGACTTTGAAACTTCGATTCAGTTCCTCACGACCCTCTTCTACTCAAACTAGAACGCTTTGGCATTACCGGCTCTTTACTTTCCTGGTTATCCAATTTTCTCCTAGGTCGAATTCAACGTGTTGTAATTGAGGGCTGCCAATCTGACTGGGCGCCTGTCAAATCTGGCGTTCCACAGGGGAGCACTCTTGTCCCACTGTTATTCATCCTGTATGTCAATGACATCCCTAAATTTTTATCAAGTCGTGCAGAGATGTTTGCTGATGATTTGTTAATCTATAATTACTACCCTCTATCTCAAACGTCCATCACTGCCCAGAAGAGTCTAGATAAAGTCACTGATTGGTGTGGCTCGTGGCTTTTAAGAACAAATGCGAGTCCATGAAGTTCACCAGGGCTAGAACTCCCTCTCCGTGCAACTACACTATTAATAACAAGCTACTTACCGATGTATTTACGCACAAACATCTTGGGGTGGTTCTTTCCGATAATTTATCTTGGAAACCCCACGTACTGTCTGTTGTTGCAAGATT